TCTCTCTCTCTCTCTCTCTCTCTCTCTCTCTCTCTCTCTCTCTCTCTCTCTCTCTCTTTTCCTGCTTCTTTCTCACCTCCCATCTTTCTGGTTCATGTTTAACTCCCTTCCTGCTAGTCTCTCCCTCTCTCGATTTCGATTTCTGCTTTTTTCTCACTTTCCATCTCTCTGATTCATGTTTAACTCGCATGCTCACTCGTTCTCTGTCTCTCTCTTGTTATATATTTAACTATTTTCCAGTATTTCTTTCCCTCTATCTAGGTCTCTGCTTTTTTCTCACATCCCATCTCTCCTTTTCATGTTTATCTGTCTCTCCAGATGTAACTCCTTCTATTCTTTGCTCAATTTAACTCTGTCTCCCTGAACAAATCCTCCGTATTTTTGTTCAATTTGAGTTTATTTACTTCCTCTCTTTATCTACTTGGTCTTTCAGAGGATACTTGTATCTATTCTACTATAGCAATGAAATGCTTTTTCTGATTGGCCTTAAGTGTATACAGATGCTTGTGGACTTTTATGCGTTTGTTTTCAGAAGTTTGATCATTTTAATCCTTTTAAGTCTTTCTGAGCTTTCAATTCGTCAATATTCATTGCATTTTGATCATCCTCTGCTTTTCGGTTGAATTCTTAAGTTCTTGAATTTGTACATGCACTTATATACAAAATCTCCATCAGTCCACTGCATTATCGCTATGCCAACCTGGAACTAAAAGGTTATACTTAAAAATCTATCAAACGAGACAACAGCTTCTGTGGTTTGAATTTGGAAACAATGTATACACTTGACATTTCTTTGTTCTAGACAGTGGATGAGTTTCCCTTTTTGGGGTAGATTTGTGGGGAAAGGGGTTCCCTACCTGTAGTAGGAATGGAGCTCAACACGTCATGTTGGCAACCACCCTGACCACTTATGCCTTGAGTCCGTTCCTAATAGTGAATGAATTGTCATCTATCAATAGGAGCCACAAATAAAAATAAAAACAATAACTATGGTAAATGTCATGATTTTCTTTTGAATTGTAGGACACAACAGCTTCTGTGGTTTCAATTCAAAATGTGGAAGTTTCAAACCCCAAGAATGGTGACCAATCATCCTTAAACAAAGATGAAAATGAAAGAGTTGAAGGCACAGGTTCAGGCTTTGTCTGGGACAAGATGGGGCACATTGTAGGCATTTATATCTGCACCCTGGACTAGATTATTTTTCTTTTTGATAAATTTGCAGCTTATTTATGTACAAAATGACAGGTAACTAATTACCATGTTGTGTCTAAGTTGGCCACGGACTCAGAAGGTCTTCAACGGTGTAAGGTTAGTTCAATGTAAAAGTGACGTTATTTTGAATTGCAAAATTATGCTACAACTCAATTGCACTATGAAACACCATGCTTCATTGTGGTCATAAACTCGATGGAATTGATGGACGGTGAAGGAGAGACTAGAGGACCTCACCATGGTGTTTATGTCTCGTTGTGGTGGGTCCTGCTATCTCTTCATCAATATCAAGCATTGATGGTGATGACCTCAATTGACCATGAGTATACCATAACCCATAAGGTTGTAGCATACTCTCCCATTTCATATTCTACAGTTGAACTGCTATCATATGAATGCTAGCATAAAAAAAATTATTTTGTTCACTGTATTGATTGTTGAAGGCCTTCCATCACTAAAGTGATACTATTTCCTACTAGGTCTTTCTCTTAGATGAGGATGCCAAAGTGATTGTCAAGGAAGGAAAGCTTATTGGATTTGATGCTGCATACGATCTTGCAGTTCTCAAGGTTTTGTATGAATCCTCCATTAACTTCTCAGTTTTTTGGTTAACTTACTGTGCAATTCAGTTATTGACTTCTTATTGGTTTGATTTCCTCCAAATGCATCTCCTAAACTAGTGCATGTGGTCTCACAATCGCAGTATGCTCACTGTGGAATTTGGTCAGGTTGATGTAGATGGTGACGAGCTAAAACCTGCACTTATTGGTAGCTCTCATGACTTGCGGGTGGGGCAGAGATGCCTTGCAATTGGGAATCCTTTTGGATATGAGCACACTCTAACTACAGGGGTATTTCCTATTGAATTCTGAACCTTCGGAGCGTATAACCTTTAGAAAGTTGGTCTAAATCTAAACTTGCACTAGTTTGTTTGATCTTTTTTTATGGGTCTAGAGGCATCCATTGTTTGAAAGTATCTTGAGTTCCAAATCTCAGTGTCATTGAATGACTGGATTTTTTATTTTGCATAATGCTAAAATATTGTTTATTTATTTGGAACCCTTCTTTCTTTTTCTTTTGAATAAAGTTTCACCCTTCGGAGTAGCACACTGTGGATGAGGACAGATTTCACCCTTCTTTCTTTTGGCGAGGCTGCCTCATCCACAGTGTGCTACTCTATACCTTATACTACACGGAGCTGAGCAATTGGTTTCTTCTTTCTTTTGTTTCTTTTCTTATACAAGCCATTTGTGTCCTACATACTCAATGTTACGGTCCATTTATCTAGTGCTAAATGGTTGAAATAGGCTTAAGGCAGAGAACATTCACTGATGCAAAATTGTTGTATGCATTATTTTAGTTTTAATACAAATAGTTTGGGAATAAAATTTCCTATATTGTGAGTGTCAAAGGTGCTCCACCTGGTGCCTATTAAAATGTGCAAGTAGAGATGTCATTTGGCAGTTTTGGGGGTTTCTAAAAGTGTTAGGTAATAAGTAGTGTAGTAATTCTCCTACGTGTATGTGTCCATTTTATTTATTTATTATTTTCCAAAATAAGTTTTGTTCTACACCTGTTGGTCTTGTGTCTCTTGATGGATTTTGAAATTCTAGCCATCCTTGTTGATTGCTTGAAGATAAGAGAAGGTAACATGGGGCTTTTTTTGAAGATTAAGAATTTTGCAATCTTAGATGAGTAACTAATGACACAGTAAAGAACCCGGATATTCTACAGGGAGCAGCATTTTACTGTTTTTAAAATCATGTTGCTGATTTTTGCGACACAAGAACATTGCAATAGCATCTGCATGTATAAGCTCCAACAAGGAACAAGTACATGACTTTTATTTCTTGGCATATCAGTATTATCAATATTGATTCATTTGCTGATAGAGTTGTTATAGTATTTGCAGTTTCCACATTATTCATCGACACCTAATGCAGGTTGTTAGTGGGCTAGGCAGGGAAATACCCTCACCAAGCGGACGGCCTATTCGCGGAGCAATACAAACAGATGCAGCCATCAATGCGGGTGAGTGACTTAGTATCTATATGGCTTAGTGGCTTCTTTATTTTGTATAACCTAAATCTGTGGATCTATTATAGCAAATTACATTTTCTCCTTTTGTTTTCTTCGATAATTAACTTGATTTCATCTTATTTATATGCAATTGCTTTCTTGGCTATTAAAGAAAAGTTACTTGACCAGTAACCTGGTATTGTAATTAATTTGTGGAAATTTACTTTCAATCGTCTAACTAAATCTAACTAAAATATGAAATTACCAAATCCATCAAAAAAATTGACAAGTTAACCACTAGTTTCAAATGATATACAAAAACAGTTGTTCTGAGAAGCACTTGAGAAAAATTCTAAGACCACATTGATAAGAAAATCTGCCCATAACTATGAAGTTGTTACTGATTCTATGAATTTCTAGAAGGAAAAAGTTTATATAAGGATGCTACCTTATAATGTAGAACAACGGATGCCCTTCAAAAATCCATTGGAAAAGGTAGTTTTAATGTTGAAAAACCCTTTCATTGATCATCTTGACATCGAGATGTGTGACTATGAAAAATAAAAAGATTTTAAGTCTCAGAAATAGTAGTTTTAATGTTGGAAAAGGTAGTTTTAATGTTGAAAAACCCTTTGATTGATCATCTTGACATCGAGATGTGTGACTATGAAAAATAAAAAGATTTTAAGTCTCAGAAATAGTGCATTTTACAACATATTATCTACACAGTCCATTTTCAAGTTTTTCATATGTTTATAATCTACTTGATTTTAACCGTTTTTTAAATTTAAAATTTTATAATTAGATATAAAAATAGATTTTGAGATAATCCTAAGAACATTTTACATCAAAATTATATACCATGATAAAATTTGAAGATGCACCTTACCTCTACACCTACGGATGCTACCGTATACAAACTGCACCCTTTCTGGAATACCTCTGTCCTTTTATGGATCTTCTCAGGGGAAAATTTTGCTACATAAATGTTAGACATGACTGATTGTTATTAACGGAAACTGTGGGTTGGATACCCTTGTCTACAAGTACGTGCATACAAAAGGCAATGGTATCCCTTTGGGGCAAACACAACAATGACAAACCCAGAACCCAGAACCCAAATAAACACATATTTCTGAGACTAAAAAACAATGAGGTAATGTTTTACTGCATATTGAAGACTACATGAAGGCAACTCAACGGACAGAGGCAGGTTTTTCCCTTGAAACCACCATGCGTCTGTGAATGATTCTCGATTATGAATAAGAACACAATGCTTTGCTCTCCATATTGTTTGGTAACTTCTAGAATGGATCAAATGTTCCATTAGATAGCCCTTAATTTAACTCGCCTAAAATAATATTCTCATTTATTGATTGTCCATTATAGGTGGTGAGGATGTGTGTTGGTATCAGTGTTCTTGGACTCGGCTGGATCCACTCGGAATTGGCCGTGTTACTCGACCTTGGCCTATGGGCGAGGTGATTTAGGCCGAGCACATTGTATATATATTAATTTGTCAATTTTAAGTTTGAGAACGTCTAACAGGCACTATAGCTAGAGTGCACCTGCGTTTCCCATCACTTCTGGGGTTCGATCCCTCAACGAAGATTTTTTTTAAGAGAATTAGGAAAAAAAGGAGCTCCAAAAACTGGACACCCAAAAGAATTGAACTCAAGACCTCGTGCAAAGAGGCATCTCAAAGTTGGGCAGCCTAACGAGCATGCAATTCGATATTTGATTAAGAAAACTGGACTCTATATTACATATATACAGTTTTTGTCTTCATTTTTTTTAAAAGAATTGAGTGACTCCAAGTAACTCACTTTGGCCGAGTCGATTTTCTGAACACTTGTTGGTGTTTGTTCTATTTGTTAAAAGTCTTTATTCTCAATAGAAAGTATCAAACTCTTTTATGTATTGATATTCTTTAAAGTTACCCTCCGAACCAGCACAAAGATGTAGAGGAAATAATAGTATTAATGAGCCGTTGTCATGGGGTTGTTAAGGTGTTTTATTGTTGGAAGTAATGATTTATTGAGAAATAACTTAAGTGATTCTTTACTTTTGTACAGAAAACAAGACTGTTGGAAACTTTTATGGAGTGTAACTATATCAATATCAACCTCGTCATAATTGGGTAGTTAGTGAGTCATGCATTATGTTTGACCGAGGAAAATTCAAATATGCTTCAATTTATCGGTTTTATTTGTATCTTTAACCATTGATATTCATGATATTATTGAAAGATTAAAGGTAATTTTTTCTCATATCATGCTAGAAAATGGCTGTTGGAAACTTTATATATTAATAAGCATAAATGTCTTTTTCTCCTGTCATGGAAGAAAGTCCCCACTTTGACTTGCTTGTGTGTTTCAAGAGCATCAATGTCTTTTACATGTGTAGGAAACTCGGGAGGGCCTTTGATTGATTCTTATGGACATGTTATTGGAGTCAATACTGCTACTTTCACACGTAGAGGTAAAAAAAAAAAAGCTTCAGATAGATGTAATGTTCTGAGATATTGCTTATTCTGTGATTGAGTCGGTGATCTGACTGAAAAAATTGATGCTTCCTATGTGAATATATCGGGTATCCTCTACGACATGGATTCGTTCTTAATGTTTTGATTACTATAGTTTTTATTTTTATTTTTTTTTGGACTTGGCTATTGCTATACTAGTAAAGGAGATCCTGTTTTGGTCTTTGTTTTCTTCATCAACTTCCTTAGTACTCTCTTTATGGATCAATGGATTGCATTAGGTTTCTGAACTGCTTATGCAGGGACTGGGATGTCTTCTGGAGTCAACTTTGCAATACCCATTGACCTTGTCAGGCAAACTGTGCCTTACCTGATTGTTTATGGAACATCTCTAAGTAACAGGTATTAGTTGTACTTTTTTTTTATTTAATTGACATTTTTGTAGGTATTTGTGGATAACTGCTGTTGGTCACATACATTAAAGCATCCAATTCTTAAGAAACTGCCTTTTGCTTTTATTTCCATGATATGAGCATGTAAATTTTGCAATTCTCCTGCACTATTTGTTGGACTGGTTCCTTAAAGGTACTAAGTTTTTCCAAATTATTTGATAGAATTTTTTTTATTTTCTGTTGATTTCATTTTAACTGTTGGGGATAGTTTGATCACTTGTTAAAGGTTATGCATAATTTTATGCACAATTGTGCATTTTTAAATGACAATATTATTAGCAAACAAGCATCGGTTGCTGAAGATTTATTTGAATGTTATGTTAACCGTATCAAATCATCTTCTTTTAATCTATATTTAATTTAGTTTCTCTCAAAAAAGAAGGAAAAAAAAGAAAAAAAAAAGAAAGATAGATCTGTTTGCCTCATTGCATGTATTGCATTTAGACCACCCCTCCCCCCGGTGTCAGATGGTTTCGTTCCCTTACTCGAGCTAGACACGTGGTCTGTGTCACTTGACCGGTGTCTGCTTCAAAATTTGAAGTGTCGAACGTGTTTGCATCTTAGAAAAAGCATGTCCATAAATTGTTGTTTTCTACATTAATGTAAGGCACCTCATGTTGGTCCTTTAATTTTAAAATACATAAAAACATGAAATAAAAGGTCATAATATCATACTTGAATTTCCGTTACCAACCCCAATAATTATGTAGAGACGCTTCTGTGAACGGGTGCCGTTTGGCAAACGGACGCCTCCGTAGGTGTGGTGGTACGGTGCCTTCAAATTTTATCATGATATATATTTTTATGTAAAATTATATGGAAAAGCTTTTTATGTTTTTCTACAATATAGAAGTTTTATCCACTTTTTTATCCAACCTTCTATTTTGAATGGAGGGTTAAGATTGCTCCAATCACAATGTCACGTTTCTACTGTTTTTTTTTTTTTTTCTAATAAACTGTTTTGACATCAAATTTTGGACGCCCATTCTTCTATTAAACTCACACTAAAGAAAAATATAAATAATATTTTTAATAAAATAAAATAACCAAAATACTCTTAAAAGTT